AATTTAATAAGTAAGGAGACGGGGTCGTTGCTCTTGGCTCAGGCTGGTTTTGGAAAAGACTCCTTGCAACCTTGAGCAATCGGGCCCGGCCCTCGCGCCTCCCAAAAGCAGCTTAAGGGATTTTACAAGGCCGTGAGCCCACAGCGCCCGCGCCCCAATTAAGATGGTATGTCTTTAGTGAAAACAAATCTTCATGTTATTTTTGGGGGAAGATTTTTTTTTTAAATTTTTTTTATTGTTTAGGAACCAGAAGGGCTAAAAAAACTGGCTTGTGTATCTTTTCTTTTTGAAAAGGGAAAATATTATGATTAAAGGAAAATACCTTAGGTCAAGACCAATATCGAGATAAACTGTTTTTTTTTTTTTTTTTTTTTAGACCAAAGAGTCTCACTTTGGTTGGCCCAAAGGGCTAATAGCTTGCAGGTGCCGTGGCGTTTCAGCCTAGGCTCATTTAAAGAAAAACCTTCAAAAACTCCTGGGGGCCCGAGTAATCCTTTCTTGGCTCAAAAGGCTCCCGAAATAAGCTGTAAAAAAAAAAAAGACTAACAGGGCATGGCGCCCACCATTTTGGCCCCACAAGCTAAATTTTTTTAATGAATATTAAATATATATAATATAGTTAGTTTGGCCAATTGAATTTTTTTCTAGTTTTATAGGTAGAGGGACAGGTCTCCGCTCTTGCTCAGGGCTGGGTTTTCGAAAACACTCCTGACTTTAGGCAATCCGCCCGCCCTCGGCCTTCCCAAGAGTGCTAGCGAATTTAACAGGCGGTTGAAAGCCACCATTTGCCCCGGCCCAAATGGTACAAATCTTAATTTCAAAAATTTCGTGACTTAACCATCTCCAAAAAAAAAACCTTGTCCAGTTCAACCTGCCTCGCTGTTTCCTTACCAAAAGAGCGAAATTATTTTTCAAGCTTTTCGATTTCAAGAAAAAAAAAACAATTAAATTTTGGGCGGGGGGGGATTTATTGAAAAAAAAAAACCTTAAAAAAAAATTGTTAAACGTTACCCTGGATCATGTATGTAATTCTTTATTTCTTGTAAAGTTATTATTTTTTTAAATAGAATTTTCTTTTTTTTTCTAGAAGTGAAGGTATTTTTATTTTTAATGTCTGCAAGTTTAGTATTTGGAAATAGATAAAATTTATATAGGTGGGGAAATCGGGAGAGGACATTTTGGGGTATTTCCATATACCTTTGTGTACTGAGTCTTCTTCCCAACATAGTTTCCTAATTTTCCTCCTCCCTTCTCTACCTTCTCACAGAGCTTTCTGGAAGTCTTATTTCTAACTCCCCAGCTTCTTCCCTGAGTACTCGCCTTATCCTGTGGCTCTTGCAGGAGGCTTTCACTTCCCCTCTACCCTTCTCTAGTAGAGACTTTGCATCTTCTGTGCCCTACATCTCTCAGGTTGGGGACAAGGGGGTGGCCTCATTCCCTCATTCTACAGCCAGAGAATTGCCCTTTCATCTTGGTAAAAACTTTTCCTTTGTGACTTACACTACCTGATTCTCTCTCACTCACCAAGTGTGTTGGCACCTTTATAGCCTTCCTGTGTCCTTCAGTTCTTTTCACCATTTTGGTGACTTCACATATCCAAGCCTGAAGCCAGGGTCCTTTTTTTGTTTTTGAGATAGAATGTTGCTCTAACACCCATGCTGGAGTGCAGTGGTGTGATCATAGCTCACTGCAACCTCAAACTCTTGGGCTCATGTGATCCTCCTACCTCAGTCTCCCAAGTAGGTGAGACTACAGGCATGTGCAACCATGCCTGACTAATTTTTCTTTTTTTTAAATTTTAAACTTTGTTTCATTTTAATTTACATTTTTCTTTCTTTTTTTTTTAGATATAGAAAATTGTATCAATATAATTTTTCTAATTTTTTGTACAGGCAGGGTCTCGCTATGTTGCCCAGGCTGGTCTCGAATTCCTGGGCTCAAGCAATCCTCCTACCTTGGCCTACCAAAGTGCTGGGATTACAGGCATAAGTTATTGTACTCATCCTGGGTCTCATCCTTAATCTTCCTTTTCCTAACCCCCTCCATCCAATTATTATAATTACTAATCCTATCAAGTCCACCTAATCTTTCTTTCTTTTTTTTTTTTTTTTTTTTGAGACAGAGTCTTACTTTGTTGCCCAGGCTAGAGTGAGTGCCGTGGTATCAGCCTAGCTCACAGCAACCTCAAACTCCTGGGCTCAAGCAATCCTTCTGCCTCAGCCTCCTGAGTAGCTGGGACTACAGGCATGCGCCACCATGCCCAGCTAATTTTTTCTATATATATTAATTGGCTAATTAATTTCTTTCTATTTATAGTAGAGACGGGGTCTTGCTCATGCTCAGGCTGGTTTCGAACTCCTGACCTCGAGCGATCCGCCCGCCTCGGCCTCCCAGAGTGCTAGGATTATAGGCATGAGCCACTGTGCCCAGCCCACCTAATCTTTCTAATCCATCTACTTCTCTCTACTCCAATGCTTCTACTTTAATTCAGGTCCTATTATTTTGGGCTTTATGTTGCTGAAACAGTCTCCTGCCTCCTGTTGCTCATTAAAACAGCATTTATTGACTGCCAGTTATGCACTAGGTGTTGGGGAAGCAGTGGTGGGCAAGGCAGATGTGATTCCTGCCTCTCAGATAGGTGCGATGCAGAGTGAGGAGCACTGATGGCTATAGGAACACGGAGCAGGGGCACCTTGCCTGGCTCGAGGAGTTAGGGAAGCATTCCCAGAGGAAGAAGCATCTAAGAGACCTGAAGGATGATTAGGATTCAACCAGAAGGAGTTGTTGGGGGATATGAAGGAAGAATGTTCCAGAAAGTACATGTGAAAACCTGCAGGTTAGAAATATGGATAGTTGGCACCTTTTGTGACCTGAGAGTCAAAATGATGAGATGTAGAAATTTTAAAGGAGTGAGTAGATGGAGATGAGCCTGGAGGGGTGGGTCAGGGGTAGAAGCATGGTAATGGAAAGCTTTGTAAAGAGATCGATTTTATACTGAGGGCTTCTTGGAGTCATGGAAATGTTTTAAGCAGGAGAGTGACACCAATTTAACAAGATCCCTGGGGCCTCCATGTGGCTGCAAGTGTGGAGAATGGATGGGCAGGCTGGAGTATAAGGAGGCCCAGAGAACATGTGGAGTGTTACAGAAATGCTGGCAAAAGGCAGTGGCTTATGGCTGGGCGTGGTGGCTCACGCCTGTAATCCTAGCACTCTGGGAGGCCGAGGAGGGCGGATCGCTCGAGGTCAGGAGTTCGAAACCAGCCTGAGCAAGAGCGAGACCACGTCTCTACTACAAATAGAAAGAAATTAATTGGCCAACTAATATATGTATAAAAAATTAGCTGGACATGGTGGCACATGCCTGTAGTCCCAGCTACTCAGAAGGCTGAGGCAGCAGGATTGCTTGAGCCCAGGAGTTTGAGGTTGCTGTGAGGTAGGCTGACGCCACGGCACTCACTCTAGCCTGGGCGACAAAGCGAGACTCTGTCTAAAAAAAAAAAAAAAAAAAAGGCAGTGGCTTGTAATGGGATCTTAGGAGTGGGAATGAAGGGGAGAGGACAGATGCAAGAGAAACCTGCCAGGAGGAATTGGCAAGATTTGGGTTGGGCCAGGAGTGGAAAGGGAGTGAAGAGTAATAGTAGCAAAGGCTGGTGCTCGGATTTCAGGCTTGCAAATTAGGTGTGGAACTCAGGAGGAACAGTCGGTTTGAAGGTGGCAAATGCTGGGTCCAATATGGACAAATTGAGTTTGAGGTGCCTGTGGGATGTGCAAGTGGAGCTGTCTACCAGGCAGTTGGACATATTTCTTTGGAGTGTAGAGGTGCAAACTAAAGTAATGGCTGAGTGACATCACCCCAAGGGTCATCAAATAACTGATGAAGGACTGGTATCCACCCTATTTATAGATTTCTCATAAATCAGCAAGAGAAAGACAATAACCTAGTATAAAAATGGGCAAAAATTATGAAAAGGTGTACCTAAGTGGAGAGAAAAATGTCTAACCTCACTTATAGTAATGATATAAATGTAAATTTATGTGAAATACCATTTCACAGTCTTCAAATTGAGAAAAATTTAAAAGTCTGGCAATATCAAGAGGAGAGAGAGCAACAGGCACTCTTACATGCCACTGTTGGGAGAGCAAATTGGGATGAGCTCTTTGGGAAAAAAGAATTGACATTATGGTATCTCATAAAGTTGGCAAAGCGCATAGCATAGAGACCAGTAAATTTATTCTTTAGCAGGAACTGTAGAGAAACCCTTCCACATGTGTACCAGAATGTTAATGCACACTAGCCAAAAAATAGTAAAACATAAGTGACTGTCAGTAGAAAAGTGTAGATCAGTCTGCATACGTTCAAGAGTGGATTGCTATGTGGTGGTGAAAATGCGTGCATTAGAGCAAAATGTGTCGCCCCGGTTAAATCTCACCGTCACAGAGGGAATGATACGATATGGTACCATTAATGTTAAGTCTAAAGGCATGCAAGACAATGCTAGATGCTAGTTTTTTAATTCTGTATGACTATATTCTTAAAGAAATGTATGACAATGATAAATTCAAGAAAGTGTTTACCTCTAAAAGAGGGCTTCTGTTAGGAAACATATTTTTCTTTCTTAAGCTGGGTGGAGGGGGTGAGTCACAGGGCTTTACATTTTTTTTCTTTTTCTTTTTTTAAGTACTTGGTCATGTGACAACATTTTTTTTTTAATACTTTGCATGTTCGAACTGCTTCCTCTCTAAAGTGTTTAAAAAGAAAAAATATGAATCTATATGGATTTTGGTGGCCTAAATCTGACATTAAAGTCTAAGTTAACCCTTGAACATTGAGGTAAAGATTCTATTCTCTATATATGCCTTCTCCTACCTGGTTGGCTGCCTTCTCCTACTTGGTTGGTTTAGTGCCAGTAGTCTTCCCCTGTGCCATAAAACTGCTAGGGGCATGAGTCTCTGATTTCTTTTCCTTCCGAGGACCCAGGCATCCCCATATCTCTGTCCAGGTCCCTGTCCTTCGAATGGTGGAGGGTGATACCATCTATGATTACTGCTGGTATTCCCTGATGTCCTCAACACAGCCAGACACTTCCTAGTAAGTGATGTCTTTTGCCTCCTCCTTTCTCATCCACCCAGTTTCAAGAGGGCCCTCCTGAAAGAGTCAGGGACTGCCTTGAGAGGAGGAAGGCTCAGTGTGTCCTTCAGATGGGAGCTGAGGGGGCCGGTCAGTTGGCTTCCTCCCCTTCCTTTGACAGCACCGGGGCCTCAGTGTCCATGTCTCTCTCAGTGTGGCCAGCAGCAGCCGGGAGAACCCAATTCACATCTGGGATGCATTCACTGGAGAGCTCCGGGCCTCCTTTCGCTCCTACAACCACCTGGTATGGCCCTCTACACCAGCCCCCATGCTTGTCCTGGCCCAGCTCTCCTTCCTTGAGGACAGCTGACGCTTTGCAAGGTCTGTTCAGTCCTTTCCTGCCCCCAGGATGAGCTGACGGCAGCCCATTCGCTCTGCTTCTCCCCGGATGGCTCCCAGCTCTTTTGCGGCTTCAACCGGACTGTGCGTGTCTTTTCCACGTCCCGGCCCGGCCGAGACTGTGAGGTCCGAGCCACGTTTGGTAAGCATCTGCGCCTCCAGAGGAGGAGGAAAGGGAAGGGTGCTGCCACCTGCACAGGGGCCTGTGTGAGCCAGGGGGTCACCTGTGGCATTTTGCCTCATCTTTAGTATGGCCCTAGGAAGCAAGTTCTCCTCTCCATTGGGCAGGGGAGAAAACAGATGCAGAGCAGGGAGGAAACTTTCCCAAGGTCAACCAGCTGGTCAGAGAACTGGTAGACTCCCGAACCCATGCCCTGCCAGCTGTGTACCTTTTGGTCTCCAAAATCTTGAGAGGGACAAAGGAACTTGGACATTTAGGTCCTTTGAGGGGATAGAAGGATCTGGGGATCTTCATCCTGCTTGTGACAAACAGGGTGGGGGAGATGTTGAGTCCTAGGACAGCAGGCAGGATTAGCCTCTGCTTAGCCCGATTGATGCCGGGTGTAGTTGCCTTCTCCCTCACTTTGTTCCTTTCCTTTCTAGCAAAAAAGCAGGGCCAGAGTGGCATCATCTCCTGCATAGCCTTCAGCCCAGCCCAGCCTCTCTATGCCTGTGGCTCCTATGGCTGCTCCCTGGGTCTGTATGCCTGGGATGATGGCTCCCTTCTCGCCTTGCTGGGAGGGCACCAAGGGGGCATCACTCACCTCTGCTTTCATCCCGATGGCAACCGCTTCTTCTCTGGAGCCCGCAAGGTAGGGGTCACATCCTGAGAGCCCAAAGCTGGTGGGCAGTAGGGCAGGAGTAGGGATGTAGTTTGCAGTGTGTTGAGGGGTAGTGGATGGGGAAAAGAAATCAGTCTAGCTAAAGAAGTGCCTATAGACTTTCAGGGAGGCAGGGACGTCCCGAGGTCAGGGGACAACTCCCTGTTCTGTGTCTGCAGGATGCCGAGCTTCTGTGCTGGGATCTCCGGCAGCCTGGTCATCCACTGTGGTCCCTGAGTCGAGAGGTGACCACCAATCAGCGCATTTACTTCGATCTGGACCCGTGAGTGCTGTGGCTCCTTCCTGCCTAGGGCCCTGATGGCCGCAGGAACATCCGAGGATCCCAGCCCCTGGGTGAGGGCTTCCTGCCCCAGGGGTGACGCCTGTACGCCAGGAAGTCTCTCTTCTCTCTCCCAGGACTGGCCAGTTTCTAGTGAGTGGCAGCACTAGCGGGGCCGTCTCTGTGTGGGACACCAGCGGGGCTGGGGACGATGGGAAGCTGGAGCCAGTGCTGAGCTTTCTGCCCCAGAAGGACTGCACCAACGGAGTGAGGTCCTCAGTTCAGTTCCACAGATCGTGGGGCTTGGGTTGGGGAGGTCCATGAGGGAGCAGGCATCCTCGCTCAGGGTGCTGATAGCCCTCCCCATCTCTCCCTCCAGCCTGCACCCTAGCCTGCCTCTGCTGGCCACTGCCTCCGGTCAGCGTGTGTTTCCAGAGCCCACAGAGAGTGGGGATGAAGAGGAGCAGGAGCTGGACCTTCCCCTGCTCTCCATGCGTCATGTCCACCTTGAATGTCGCCTTCAGCTGTGGTGGTGTGGGGGGGGCCCAGACGCCAGTGTCACTGGTGATCACCAGGGCGAGGAGGGACAAGGAGGGGCCGGGGGCGGTGGGGATGGGCTTATATAAAGAGGTTTTATATGATACTAGAGTCTTTGTGTCTGTTTGGGGAGGCAAATGACTGAGGTGGGGACAGCCAGGGGGACTCGTGGGCTCCCTTGTCCAGCTGCAGCGGGGATTGGCATATTGTTCTTGAAAGCAGGGGTTGAGAGGTGGGACTAGGCAGGAGCCAATGGGATGGCTGAGCTTGGTGTGAAGTCAAGTGGGTGGGGGTGGGGCTTCATGCCATTGACTGGTTGGTTGCTAGGCAACTTGGTAAACTGAAGGGGGGAACCTGTTTGAAATCTCACTCCCAAGGTGGGGGCAGCAGGGGTCAGGGTGAGCAGGGCTGAGCAGGAGTGGCAGGAGCTCTGTGTCAGACTGTTGGGTGTGACTGTGTGAGACTGTGCAGACAGTGACAGACAAGACGCCTGCTCCTTCCACTGAACACTTATTTACCATCATCCAGCAGCAGAAGGATGGACGCTGCTCTGGGGGAAGGGGAGCAGGAGCAGTCCCCTCCCCTGGATCTCCCCCAGGAGGCAGACACCCAGTAACCAGAGTCAAGGACACACATGAAAGAGTAAAGGTGCCAAAAAATACAGGTGTCACATTCAGTATTGCTGTGAGATGCAGGACAAGGCCGATGGTCTTACTCATTCAGCAGCTGCGGCTGGTCTTGTTTCTGCATTTGTCTACTGTGTCTTCTGGGGGTGGGGGGCAAGTGTGGTATCTGAAGCAGTGACTCCTCCCTGTCCCCTTCCACGCACACACCTTGCCAAACACTGAGAGATACTGTCAGCAGGGGATGTGATTTTGGATCTCCCAATAAAAGGGAAGGGACAAAAGGCCTGTGGAGGCTTGAGAGGGAAGGAGAGGAATGTTGCCCCTGCCCAGAGGTGCTGAAAGCCAGGTTCTTACACCCAAAAAGGCAACTCCTCCCTTCCCCCAGGATAATTGGAAACAGCCCTTCCTGCTGCTGGGGATTGGGGTTGTAGGTACTCCCTTTCCTCTTCCAACCCCATTTCTCTCCCCCAAACATTTGAGAAGGGTCCAAATTTGCTTCCTAATCTCTTACCTTTCACCTAACCCCCAGATAACAGTAAAGGGTCCTGGGAGCTGTGACAAAATGGACCCCAGGAGTGGGAGTTGAACAGCCCGGGTTTGGTTTCCGGTTTTCTCTCAGACTCCTGTGTGACCCTGGGCAAATAATATGCCTCTCTGGGCCTCAGTTTTTTCATCACTACAATGGGATCATTAGCTCTGCCCCTCCCACTTCACACAGGTAGTCGTGATGATCAACCCAGCCAACCCATCCGCACTTTGTGAAGCGCCAGGCCTTCAAGGTTATCATTATTCTCTTCAGACCTTGCGGGGGCAGCGGTGTTTGGGGACAGGAGGCTGCGGCTGCGGGAGCGCAAGGCATGGGTTCTTGGGGTGGAGAGGGCGAGAGCCTTTCTGGATCCGAGAGAGGAAGATTCCAACCACTCAGGCGATCTGAGGGCAGGAGGGGAGACAGGCAGAAACTCGGCCAGAGACGAGACTCGGGGAGACAAAAGGGGCGTGAGAGACCGCGGCGGGGAGCGGGGCGGGGCGGGGCGGCGGGCGGGAGGTGCGCGAGGTGAGGGAGGTGTGGGGGGCGTGGGCCGCGGGATGCTGCCGCCCGCTCCGACTCGAGCTCCAGCTCCAGTTTTTCCCTCCACCATCCTCTCCCCCTCCCCGCCTCTCTTTTAACTCCCCCCTCCTGGGCTCGGGACTGGTTTCCTCCCTTAGCCCGCTGCCCTCAATCCCGGCGAGGCTGGGGCTCCGGCTCGGCGCCCCCTTGCTCGCTCCCTTGTCCGGCGCCCCATGCCGCCCCGGCTCCCCCAGTCCCCCACTTAGGCGGGCTCGCAAATCCCGGGGTGCTGGCGCGTGGGCCGGGGGGGCGTAGGGCGCCTGCAGACGGCCCCTGCAAGGGCTCTGGTGGGGCTGAGCGCTCCGTCGCGGGGCGCGGGCAGAGCAGGAAGCGGGTCCGCGTGGGAGCTAGGGACATCAGCCGCCGGGGTGGCCGGGGCTGAATCGCCAAGCAGCCAAAGCAGTCGCTCCAGGGGGTGAGCGACTTTGGGGGAGTTGGTGCCCCGCCCCCCAGGCCTTGGCGGGGTCATGGGGGCCCCCCGTTCTGGGCCGGGGGGCGTGCGAGTCGGGGCCCTGCTGCTGCTGGGGATTTTGGGGCTGGTGTCTGGGCTCAGCCTGGAGCCTGTCTACTGGAACTCGGCGAATAAGAGGTGAGCGGCTTGGGGCTGGGGAGACCCCACACCCTAGGGCAGCCGGTATGGAAGCTTTGGGGACTTGGGGGCTGGGTTCTCTGAGCAGGGAGGAGGCTGGAGGGAAGGTGCTAGTGTCCTGACGTGCGGTGATGGGTCACTGGAGAGAGGTGATCTTAGGCGCAAGACTCCCGGGTCCCACACAGAGCTGGGTGTGGGTATTGCTATCCATGTGTCAGGAGTTTGAAGACCCCAAAGGGACAAGGATAAAGAAAGTTCATGGGTAGCGGGGAGGGCAGTGCAGTGGTTATTTGGATCTGTGGGAGACTGTGTCGGGGGCTGGGCTTGGAGGGAGCCTGTTTAATGTCAGCTCTCAGGAGAGAGCTGCTGAGTAGGTGCTGCTGAGGTGCTGAGGGGAAGGGCAGGGTGCCTCTCTCCCCAGCAGTGTTGGAGATAGGAGGCGAGGGGGCTCAGTCTGGGGGCTCTGGGGACAACTTTTCCAAGGCTCCTTGGCTTTCTTTACAGTCTGTCTCCCAACTCTTGCCCACAGCCAGAGGGTCGGTGAACCATTGGCTGAACGACTTCCTAACCAGAACATATTCCTGCCTTCCTGGCGTGGGGACTTGTTTCTGGAATAAGCCTCAAGCTCCCTCAAGCCCCCTTCTTTCCCTCTAGCATCCGGAGTCCTGAGGACCCCATTGCCCCCTCCCCCATCTTTGCTGCAAACTCTTCCATCAGACCCCTCTGTTCGGTGGCATGCTTGCTTTGCTCTGAAAAGAGGCCAGGGGTCAGATGAAACTTCAAGCCACACAGGGTAGGACAGAACCTTTGGGAGGCCATCTGAGTCCCTTGCCTACATGTAGATCCCGCTCCCTGTTAGCAAAAGAGTTCTTTCTGTGTTTTGAAAAATTCTTGCTTCCCTGGGGAAGCTGTGTGAGGCTGTGGTAGGGTAAGCTTTGGAGCTCATCAAATCCTTGGTCTTAATCCTAGCTCTGCTGCTTTCAGCTGTGTGGCCTTGGGCATGTCACTTAACCTTTCTGAGTTTGTACCCTCAATCCTAACAGCTATTATGAGGATTAGAGGTAAGGTGTTTGAACCTATTATATACTCATTAGAGGAGAGCTAGGCTTACTCTTCCTCTCTTTACTTCTCAGCCTTGCTCACACTTCTCAATGCCGCCATCCCTCCCTCCCTCCCTCCCTCCAGTATCTCTTTGGGAATAATCTCAATGTCTTTTCTGTATTCAAGTCTCTTGGCTGCAATTTGAGTATCAGGTGTGCAGCTTGAGGACATAAGTTAGGCTTATTTTTGATAGGGTGGAGAAAAGGGCATTAGGGTTTCCTGGGGGCTTTTTAAAATTTTGGGTGGGAAGGAGCGGGTCACTTGAGAGTCTGGGAAGATACAAGCAACAGTCCGCTGGGACCTAGCCCTGAGACCCTGTGTCAGCTATTAATGTACAGCGAGAGGATGCAGTGGTTGGCAAATTTGTGGCTGTGCTGGTTAGCGGATGCCTGGGCCCACTGGCCTAGGGGATGTGGGGTTGTGTTGTTGTGGTTAGAAAAGTCAACTCCTTCAATTCCAAAGCAAAAGAACACTTTCTCTAGGAAGTCTGAGACACTGGGTGGGGGGACTCAGTGGGGAATGACCCAGGCAGCAGGCCCCCAGACCCTGGCTCCTGTTAGCACCATTCGGGGTCATTGACAAACCAGGCATTTACCTCCTATCCTATTATCTGGCTAACTTGGGACACTGGTATGGATCACCCTCCACACCCCCTCCTCACCCCATCCTTCTCCTGCCCCCTTTACCCTGAAATCCCTGAAATTCAGTGGTGGCCTGGAGGAGGGGAGGCTCTGCCCCCATGGTTGACTGCCATGGAATAGTGAAATCACCTGGGAGGGGTGGGCTGTGTGGTTCCAGAGAGGCCAGCTCCTTGGTAACTGGCATCCTGTTGCCATGGCAACTGGGCTGGTGATGGAGCGGGAGATGGCAGTGTGCATGTGGTGAGGGCGGGCTGAAGAGTGCATTTGGGCACACCAAGGGGCAGGAGACCTCTGAGCCTGGCTTCCCGCTGCTTCCAATGTGAGCTCACAGAATCCTTGGTGCCTGCTCTATAAGAACAGACTTTCCACTCAGACAAAGGCAGGCAGGCGGGTGGGAGCTGAGAATGGCTGTCCTGGAGGGTTGTGGGGTGAGGAAGGGGAAACTCTGGGGTCCAGACCTCTGACATCTCCTCCTTGTCCACCTCACCCTTCTCCCCATAGGTTCCAGGCAGAGGGTGGTTACGTGCTCTACCCTCAGATTGGGGACCGGCTAGACCTGCTCTGCCCCCGGGCCCGGCCTCCTGGCCCCCACTCCTCTCCCAATTATGAGTTCTACAAGTTGTACCTGGTAGGGGGTGCCCAGGGCCGGCGCTGTGAAGCACCCCCAGCCCCAAACCTCCTCCTCACTTGTGATCGGCCAGACCTGGACCTCCGCTTCACCATCAAGTTCCAGGAGTATAGCCCTAACCTCTGGGGCCACGAGTTCCGCTCGCACCATGATTACTACATAATTGGTACTGCTGGGCAGAGGGCAGGGTGCAGGGGGGAGCTGCTCCCGAGATCGAGGGCAGATGAGGGAGAGGAACCCCTATGTCCTCGGGGGTGGGGACTCCAGGGCATGGGGACAGAATAAGGGCCAGCTCTGGGGTGCCAACTTCTCCCTCTGGCTTTTGTCTCCCAGCCACATCGGATGGGACCCGGGAAGGCCTGGAGAGCTTGCAGGGAGGTGTGTGCCTAACCAGAGGCATGAAGGTGCTTCTTCGAGTGGGCCAAAGTGAGTGGGGCTGGGGGACCCCTCCTAGGAGCTGAGGGAGGTTGGGGCAGCACCATGATGGTCTGGGGGCAGTTGTCTCAGCTCCTCTTTCTTGGGTCTTCCGTATCTTCAGGTCCCCGAGGAGGGGCTGCTCCCCGAAAACCTGTGTCTGAAATGCCCATGGAGAGAGACCGGGGGGCAGCGCACAGCCTGGAGCCTGGGAAGGAGAACACACCAGGTAGGAACCAGGCCCAGCCCCTGCCTTCCCCAGCCGCCTCTGCTCTCGGAGCCCAGCTGCCCTGCCTCCACCCTCTCCCTCCCTCTTCAGTTTTGGGGGTGGTGATACAGGAAAGAGAAGAGAGGATGGGAGGGTGGGAGGGGAATGGAAGCCAAATGAGGAAAAGACTCAATTAGGACTAATTAGCCAAGTCAGTGCTTCAATCAGTGCTGTCAGAGAAGTGGGGAGGACTACGTGGCAGGGAGCTGAAGGGCTGGACACCTGGATTCTGAGTAGGGGCCTGGGGGAAGGGGGGGTGGGGTCCCCAAGGGTCCTGGGCACTGCTGGGGAAGCCCATGGGGACCCCAGGGCTGGGTATTCACATGCCCAGGTGGCTCCTTCAGTCCCTCCCCCTCTTTCCTCCTTCACCCCTTCCCTGCCAGGTGACCCCACCAGCAATGCAACCTCCCGGGGTGCTGAAGGCCCCCTGCCCCCTCCCAGCATGCCCGCAGTGGCTGGGGCAGCGGGGGGGCTGGCGCTGCTCTTGCTGGGCGTGGCAGGGGCTGGGGGTGCCATGTGTTGGCGGAGACGGCGGGCCAAGCCTTCGGAGAGTCGCCACCCTGGTCCTGGCTCCTTCGGGAGGGGAGGGTCTCTGGGCCTGGGGGGTGGAGGTGGGATGGGACCTCGGGAGGCTGAGCCTGGGGAGCTAGGGATAGCTCTGCGGGGTGGTGGGGCTGCAGACCCCCCCTTCTGTCCCCACTATGAGAAGGTGAGTGGCGACTATGGGCATCCTGTGTATATCGTGCAGGATGGGCCCCCCCAGAGCCCTCCAAACATCTACTACAAGGTATGAGGGTTCCCACCTGGCTCTCCTGAATCCAACCCTTATTGGGGTGCTCCTCCGGTTTAATTCCTGGTTTGAGGGCCACCCCCAACATCTCCTTGGCCCCCTTTGCCCCACCAGCTCCTTTGCCCCTCCTGGCTGCTGCCCTCTCCTCCACTTTTAGGATTCCTTAAGGTTCTACTGCATCACCTCCTGTCTCCCATTTGGCCATGGGTACCCTTCTCTGTCTCTTTGCTCCTGGGTCCTGTACCCTTGGGGAGGGGGTACAGGCTCAGCCTCCTCTCTGACCATGACCCAGGTGTCCTTATCCCCCTTGCCCACCCAGAGCTAGGGGTGGGAACAGTCTGTCTTTTGGTTGGCACCTCTTTCTTTCTGCCTCTCACTGTTTTTCTCTTCTCTCCATCTCTTATCTTTCTCTCTCTCTCTCTTCTGTCTCTAGGTCTGTTTCTCTTCCCTAGCACCCTCCTCCCTACACCTCCTTCTACCCTCTTGCCTTCTTACCCTGTGCCTCTCCATCTCCTGGGTGGGGCCTCAAAGCATTTCTCCCCTTAGCTCTTGGCCCCCCCTGTGACCTCTCATCCCAACCACTCCCCTCAGTCTGCCAAAAATGGGGGCCTTACAGGGAAGGCTCTGGCACTCCACCCCAGCTCAGTGCATGGGCAGCAGGGCCTCCCTCTCTGCCCTGCCCCAGGCCTCTACATACTTACTCCAGCCATTTGGGGTGGTTTGGTCATGACAGCTACCGAGAGAAGAAGTGTTCCGTTTTGTCCAGTGGCCAATAGCAAGATATGAACCGGTCAGGACATGTATGGACTTGGTGTGACGCTGAATGGGCCACTTGGGACAGGAAGTGACTTGCTCCAGACAAGAAGTGACCAGGCCTGGACAGAAATGGCCTGGGAAGTGGCAGAAGCAGTGCATCAGGAACTGGAAGTGCCTTCATCCAGGACAGGAAGTAGCACTTCTGAAATAGGAAGTGGTCTGGCTGGAACTCCAAGTGGCTTAGTCTGGGGGATTGGGGGGTGGGAGGTAGATGGTTCTTATTCTGTGGAGCAGGGGGGCAGAAAGAACTTCCTGATTCAGGAGGAAGCTGGAACTTACTGACTGTAAGAGGACAGAGGTGGACTGAGGAAGACTTTCCTAGTATTCAGTGGCACTTCCCAGGATCTCCCTTCCCTTGTGCTCTGTGCTGATTTTAGGACAGCTAAGATGACTGCCATCTGCTGTGGCAGGCCCAATTTGTCGTGTTCTTTCCTTTCCATATCCTGATATAATCTCTGTTAATCAACATGACTACCCCAAGAACCTGCGTGTTCTCCCCCAGTAACCCAGATGGCTGTCTTGTTCACCCCTCCTCCATTTCCTGTTCCCTTCAAACTCAACACAGCTCCCTTCTTAGTGACCAAAATGGTGGCCTACTGGCTGGTCTAGCTGACAGGGGCACTTAGCAATGGCCAATGTTTCATAGTGACCAGCTGATACCTATTCCTGCCCTCTAGTGCACAATTGGATGTTGCCTCAGTTTCCTCCCAGCTCAGTTTTATTAGATCAAAGCTGCCCTTGGGCACCAAGTTGGCCACCTCAATCACCAGCCAAGATGGTTACTTTGTGCACCAGAGGTCACAGCATCTCTCTGGTGCTGTAGCTCCCAGCTCCTTCCTGATTTTTCTAATCACTCCTTCCGGGGAACAGGAAGTTGATATTGCCATGGTGGCTGGGTACGCCGTCACCGCAATAGTTTTACTGTAAAAGGGAAATTTGAACAACAAAAACCAAAAAAAGAATAAAAAACTTCAAAAGTTGACAAGAAGGCTGGAGGATGTCTGGACATGAATTGGGACAAAGAATTAAAGTGGCTTTCAAGCTGAGGGTTAGATTTCATGAAACCAAGGGGAATGGGTAGGGACAGGGTGGCCTGGAGTGGTGATGTGGGCAGGACTTGGGGAGGGGAAAATGGGCTGAGTGAGGAGGCTGAGGAAGACAACCACCTCCATGGGATGGAGAGAGGAACCCAGGCAGGAGTCAGGGTTGCCAATACATTCCAGTGGGGATGTGTGCGAATTTCCATTCACCCATGGGGACAGTTTGAGTGTCTACTGCTAAACCAAAGCACTGGACAAGGCGCTGGACTTTGTTCAGTTAGGAACAAAGCAGTAAAAATATAATCACGTGTTAAAGTCTATTGCCTGCCACCCCTACACAAGGCATCTCTGACTTGGGGAGTTTTGCTGTTGAGGACTCATGTGGGGACAAGGAATGTGGCTGATTATTAGAAAGTAGGAAGGACTCAGGGACCCAGGCATCAAGCTGCCCATCCCCTGGCTCCCTGTATACCCATACCCCAGGCTCTTCTTCCCTAAAAGCCCAGGTGCCCAGCCCCCTGGACTCAGTCCTATTCTCCAACGACAAAAGCAGCCGTCAGGAGCATCACTGGAGCGAGTCAGCAGGGGTCACAACCTCTGCCCTCCCCGCCCCTCCCCTGACTTTGGGTTCCCTCCCGCTGTCTCCCATCTGCCTGGAGGTCAAGGGGTCCCCCCTTCCCCTCTTCTGTCCAGTGGGACCCCTGCCCCTCCCCCTTCTGAGCAAGATGCCTGGGTCCTGAGAGGTGCAGGCACTGCAGGAGGGGAGTTGTAAACTGGGAGGCCAGGTGCTGGGCTCCTGCCTTCTGAGCCCACACTGGAGCTGCCCGAGGTGGGGAGACTCGAGGGGGGTGGAAGGGCTGGTCCTTGCCCCTTAGTGGGGGTTGGTTGTCATGGCAACATCCCCTTCTCCACACAATGGGAAGCCCCCCTCAGCCTCCCGCGTGGATGGAGCCGACAGCCCCATCGCTGGCTATCAGCCTCAGGGACTTGGCAACCGTCACTATGGCAACCCGGAGCCCAGCAACAGGGCCCACTGAGAAAGGGAGGGGTCCAAGACTGGGGCAGAGCGGTGTGTGAGGGGGCAAGGGAGCTGAGACTCCCCCCTACACATACATCTAGAGGCACAGGTGGAGAGACAAGAGGGAAGAGAAGTGGGGATAAATAGTCTCCGTGACAGGCAAACACCTCACCAAAGCAGCCAAGACATCATAACATGCTGAGAGACAGGAAGACACCTGGGGACAGATGCACAGCTGGGGAGAGGAACAGCACATACTGCACAGCGCCCTGGGACACACCCCTTTGGAGCACTGGCATCCAGAGACTCCCTCCAACCCTCTGGCATTAACAACACAGACCTACAGCCTCTCGCATGTGTAGTGACTTGTGTGTCTTTTGAGGTATTTTAAAAATGCTGGTGACTTCCAAACAAAACAACACATGCCCTCCTGTTTACTTTCTGCGTACAAATACACAAACACATCCTTAGGGTAACATCTACAACAAAATGACTATAGGGGCAGGAAGATATTTATTTGTTCATTTGTTCATTTATTCCTTCAACAACATATGAAATGTCTACTTCATTCCAGGTACTGTTTCAGGCGCTGGGAATACATGGTGAACAGTCAGCACTCCTGCTTTCATGAAGCCCACATTTTGGTGGGAAACAACATAATACAATCTGAGGTAGTTGAAAAGTAGTATAAGCAAAATAGAGTGACAGGATGGAGCGTAACAGGGAGCTGCTTTAGATCAGAAGTCAGGAAGGTCCCTCTGAAAGAGGTGACATCAATTAGGACTTTTTGCTGGGCGCAGTGCCTCATGCCTGTAATCCTAGCTCTTTGGGAGGCTGAGGCAGGAGGACTGCTTGAGGTCAGGAGTTCAAGGCCAGTCTGAGCAAGAGCGAGACCCAGTCTCCACAAAAAAATAGAAAAATTAGCCGGGTGAGTTGGTGAGTGCCTGTAGTCCCAGCTACTTGGGAGGCTGAGGCAGGAGGATTGCTTGAGCCCAGGAGTTGGAGGTTGCAGTGAGCTATGATGATACCACTATACTCTAGCCAGGGCAACAGAGTGATACCTTGAGCTATTTAAAAATGCTGGTGACTTTTTCAGAGACCTTGTCTCAAAAAAAAAAAAAATATCAGGACCTTGAACAATGAGAAGGAGTAAACCATGCACTATGGGGAAGGGCATGCCAGACAGGAACAGCGAGTGCAAAGGCACAGAGGTGAAATCATGATGTGTTTGGGAACAGCAAGAAAGACATCACAACCACTCATACATTTCAGATGTGTCCTGTTCTTCCCTAGCCTCAGCCTGTAGGGGAGCAAGTCACTTAGGGTCTGGAATCCACATTTAGGAAGTTCATCTCGCTTGGTCTTCCACTTTTTCTCCCTTGTGTTTCGATGTGTCTGTGAGTTGTGTTTTTCTCTACTAAAATGTAAGCTCTGGGAGGGCAAGGATGATGCTCTGAGCTTTCTGGGGCTGTGCCACGGCCGCTGGCAGAGCCCAGAGCAGGCAGGCAGAGCAGAAGTAGAGGAACTGAGAGGGCTGGGGACCACAGAAGCTAAAACCGTCCATCCATCCCCATAAGCCAGCATAGGATTGAGACTGTCTTGGGGGCTGACTGCAGACTGAATCTCAGACTTTGCCGTCCTTCCAAACCTGAGCAGCTGAGGGACACACATTGCTCTGAGGGGCGTATGTGTGTGTGGTTTGTGTTGGGGGTTTTAAGGAAAGGGGAAATGGGGCAAGGGGTTGCAGTGTGAATTTCTGATGGGGAATGGTTGACATCACATCTGGAATTTCACTTAGAATGAAAAATGGAGCTTCCTAAGGGGCAACCATGGACATGAGGCTGAGAGTTTGTGATCTGGGAGTAGTAATGTTGCAGGATGGTCTGGAGGCAGGGGGCTGGCTGGCATGGACTCAGAGAGTTGGGTGAGGAAGGAAAAATGACAAAGAATGAATGAGAATGACTGGGCAGCAAGAGAGATGTGTGAAAGGTAGTAGGGAAAGTGGGGTCTGAAGGGATCAAGCTCCAGGTACCTCTGATTCCCACAGGGATTTGAAATATTTGGTTTCCTCATTCTCCCTCTTCCCTCAGTTGCTGTCAGAAACTCAGGCCTCAGCTCCCCCCAACCCTAGTGGCTGGCGGGGTGGGGGGAGACTGAGCAGCCTCAGGGGGCGGCAGCTGGCGAGTGGGGAGGAATCTGTGTGCTCAGCAAACAGCAGCCTCGGTGCCCAGTGGCTGCCTCCTCCCTCATCAATCAGCCCCAGCCAAATGTCCTTGCATTCCCACCACCCCAAGGGGACTGGGGCTGGGCCAGGGTCCCCAGGGGAGTGAGATGGGGATGGGTGGGAGAGGTGGGGGTGGTGCCTGGCTTCCCAGCCCTTGGCCTCTGTTCTCTTCTCTCCTGGAAGCTCTCAGTTCTTCATGTTATGGAATGACTCCATCCAGGCCCCAGCCATCATGGGGCATCAGCTACAAATCACCTGTGGGGGGCTGCTGGGGGAGAAGGGGGGCAGAGGGATGAGTCAGGGCTGTGGAGGAATCCACTCTGGTTCTCACGGGACCAGCACAGGGCACAGTCAAAGGGAGGCTGCTGGCATAGAGGCCCTGTCCCCCAGCTGGACTCTGTCTCTGATGGATGTTCTGGACAGCAGATTGAGACCTCGACCCCCTGAATGTCCTCTCCCTTCCCACCTTCTCCTAGCCCCCAGCCCTCACACCCTACTTCCTGCCAAGATCCAGAGGTCTGGCACCCCACTCACCCCAAATCTGCTGCTCCCCATTGGGAACTGGGGCCTCTAGACCTTAGTCTCTAGCTGTCTCTCCCCGTCAGCCTGTGCTCCCCTCAGGGACCCAGGCGTCCTGCCCACTCCCTTCACCATAACAACCATTCTTTAGGAGTTTCCTAAGACTTTAATATCATTTCATTAAGTCAGCAAGTTCAGAGAAGGTTGGGGGCACAAAGAGACTGGGGGTGGGCAAAAGAGGGCCAAGGTAGGGGGGAAGCAAGAGAAGACCCCCCCCCAGCCCCCTCTCCGTGGAGATGGCTCTGAGAAATCAAATATTGACAGTGAGAGAACAGAACTTATTAAATCTGGGACAGGGGCATGTGGGGAGCTGTGGGAATGGCCGGGTGCCTGGGTTCTGAGGGTACTGAAGGTTCTGGGAGGAGGGAAAAGCCTGCGGCTGGGAGGACACAGCAAGGCGATGGGTCTTGAAGGGTCTTGACGTTACAACTCTTCTGCCCCTTTCCTTTGGGATGTACTCAGTCTTGCCACCCTGGCTTTTTCTCAGGTGTCCCCTAGAGCTCCTGGGACAAGACCCCTATCACAGCTGTGGTTGTCCCCCCTTAATCCCTTCCCCCTACCTCCACCTCTGTTGATGAGCTTCAGCAGCGTTTAATCGGATTGAGCAGTAATTAGCAAAGCTAGATGTTTGATTACCTATTTAGCATAATGTGGGGGGCTGGGATCCCTAGGCACAGCCACAGTTGGGGTGGGGGGAGCCAGAGAAGAAATGGGATCTATGGAAGCTCCTTTCCCCAGGGAGCCAGGAAACTTGCCCATGAGGCTCCCAACCCCATACCCCATCCGTTTGGGAACCCCCCTCCCCTCAGGGTTCTGACCAATCACATCACCTCTCTCTACCACCCATGGCCTATCTGGTTAAAGGATCACTTAGATGTTCCATCTTAGTCCTGCTTGCTGTGCAGCTGGTTTAGGGGAGGGCAGGACTCCTCTCTCTTCAATCCCTACTCTCAGCAACAGGAGTCTGGCTGGGCAGGAGGCCACAAATCAGAATTCAGAAACCCACCTTAAGGACGATTGGGCAGGGGGTGGGGGTGGGGGTAGGGCAAGGACTGTCAGCTCTGGAAATAAAGATAGGGTAGGTGGGATGGTGAGGTCAGGGTTGGATCAGGGTGTAGGTT